CAACAGCCACCATCTGACCCCACCAGGGACTGGCCGAAGCCACCAAGAAAGGACCAACCCCACCACGGTCCCACCAACCCCACCATGGAACCCAACAGCCACCATCTGACCCCACCATGGACAGGCTGAAGCCACCAAGAAAGGACCAACCCCACCACGGTCCCACCAACCCCACCATGGAACCCAACAGCCACCATCTGACCCCACCATGGACAGGCTGAAGCCACCAAGAAAGGACCAACCCCACCACGGTCCCACCAACCCCACCATGGAACCCAACAGCCACCATCTGACCCCACCATGGACAGGCTGAAGCCACCAAGAAAGGACCAACCCCACCACGGTCCCACCAACCCCACCATGGAACCCAACTGGGACCATCTGACCCCACCATGGACAGGCCGAAGCCACCAAGAAAGGGTCCACCCCACCACGGTCCCACCACGGATGGCCTGACCCCCCCCCAGATCTCCAACCCCACCCCAGACCCACCTCCCACCCCCAATAAACCCCGCCCCCGCATCTCCATGGCAACTCCTGACCCTTGGGGGGCACCTGGGGGGCAAACGTGGGTCAAACGCGGCAGAACTGGGCAAAATCAGGCAGAAGTGGGTCAAAATCAGGCAGAATCGGGCAAATTCAGGCAGAAGTGGGCAAAATCAGGCAGAATTGGGCAAAATCAGGCAGAAGCGAGCTAAAATCAGGCAGAAGTGAGCCAAAAATGGGCAGAAGTGGGCAAAATTAGGCAGAAGTGGGCAAATTCAGGCAGAAGTGGGCAGAAGTGAGCCAAAAACGGGCAGAAGTGAGCTAAAAACAGGCAGAAGCAGGCAAATTCAGGCAGAAGCGGGCAAATTCAGGCAGAAGTAGGCAAATTCAGGCAGAATTGGGCAAAATCAGGCAGAAGTGGGCAAATTCAGGCAGAAGTGAGCCAAAAACTGGCAGAAGCAGGCAAAAACAGGAAGAAGTGGGCAAATCCAGGCAGAAGTGGGCAAAGTCAGGCAGAAGTGAGCTAAAAATAGGCAGAAGCAGGCAAATTCAGGCAGAAGCGGGCAAATTCAGGCAGAAGTAGGCAAATTCAGGCAGAATTGGGCAAAATCAGGCAGAAGCAGGCAAATTCAGGCAGAAGTAGGCAAATTCAGGCAGAAGTAGGCAAATTCAGGCAGAAGTAGGCAAATTCAGGCAGAAGTAGGCAAATTCAGGCAGAAGTAGGCAAATTCAGGCAGAAGTAGGCAAATTCAGGCAGAAGTAGGCAAATTCAGGCAGAAGTAGGCAAATTCAGGCAGAAGTAGGCAAATTCAGGCAGAAGTAGGCAAATTCAGGCAGAAGTAGGCAAATTCAGGCAGAAGTAGGCAAATTCAGGCAGAAGTAGGCAAATTCAGGCAGAAGTGAGCCAAAAATGGGCAGAAGCGGGCAAAATCAGGCAGAAATGGGCAAATTCAGGCAGAAGTGGGCAAATTCAGGCAGAAGTGAGCCAAAAACTGGCAGAAGCAGGCAAAAACAGGAAGAAGTGGGCAAATTCAGGCAGAAGTGATCTAAAAACAGGCAGAAGTGGGCAAAATTAGGCAGAAGTGGACAAATTCACGCAGAAGCAGGCAAATTCAGGCAGCAGTGAGCCAAAAATGGGCAGAAGCGGGCAAAATTAGGCAGAAGTGAGCCAAAAATGGGCAGAAGCGGGCAAAATCAGGCAGAAATGGGCAAATTCAGGCAGAAGTGGGCAAATTCAGGCAGAAGTGAGCCAAAAACGGGCAGAAGTGGGCAAAACCAGGCAGAAGTGAGCTAAAAACAGGCAGAAGTGGGCAAAATTAGGCGGAAGTGGACAAATTCAGGCAGAAGCGGGCAAAATCAGGCAGAAGTGCGTAAAACCAGGTAGAAGTGAGCTAAAAACGGGCAGAAGTGGGTAAAACCAGGTAGAATTGAGCCAAAACCGGGCAGAAACGGGCAAAATCAGGCAGAAACAGGCAAATTCAGGCAGAAGTGAGCCAAAACTGGGCAGAAGTGGGTGATAGTGGGCCAAAGTGGGTCGAACTGAGCAGAACTGGGCAAAAGCAGGCCAAAGTGGGCAAAACCAGTAGAAGTGAGCCCAAAACGGGCAGAAGTGGTCCGAACTGGGCAGAAGTCATCCAAACTGGGCAGAAGTGTTCCGAACTGGGCAGAAGTGGTCCAAAGTGGTCCAAACTGGGCAAAAGCGGGCAAAAGCCAGCTACAAAAGCGGGCCAAATTTGGGGGGGG